TCTCTCACTCTCTCACCTACAACTTCAGAAGCAAATTGCTTCCTTAAATAAAGTATGCATTATTTCTGTCGTTTACGATTGTTTCAGGCCTGATTATCCTAGTTTCAGACGTTTTTCTAGCAATTTAGACCATTTAGGCACGATTTTTGGCATTGTCGGACTGTTTAAAGGAGTGGTAAACTTCATTTTCTAAGAAAAATACAATAAAATACAAAAAAATTTTAAAAACAAAAAACAAACAAATATTCGAGATCATGCATATGCCTAAAACCATCTCAAGAGCTCATTTTCAAAGCAATTTGATTTGATGGCCTAACTTCTCAGCGCTGTGGCCTAGGATTCCAAATTTGAATATCTTCTGAAAGACAAGATCAAGACGGTCAGAATGGTTCAAAAACGAAGTTTCTAGCTCAATTTTGAGGGAAGTTATGCGCCTTCAAAGTTTTAGGTGAGACGCAGAGAAAGAGACAGTCGTTTTCTCTGCCGTCTCGCACTCTCTCATTTCTAACTTTAAAGGCGCATAACTCATTTCAAAATTGAGCTAGAGACTTGGTTTTTGGACCATTTCAACCGCCTTGCTCCTAGCTTTCAGAGGAAACTGAATTCCGAATTCTAGGCCACGGCCAAAAAAAGTTAGGCCACCGATTTTCAGATGGTTTTTGGCTCATTTTGTATGGAATTTTTTGATTTTTTTTTGACACATAAAACTTCTAAAATCAACTATCAATAAGTGTCCTATCGAAGTCAAAAATGACAAAATCCAAATAATATATCCTCTTGAGCCATTCCCTTATCGTTTTATCCGTTTCGATTTGTTTTTTGACGACGTCATGGGCATCAGAGTCATAAGTGGCATGCTGAGTTTCCCCTTCCAACGCAGATTTTTCGATATATGTCAATGTGGAATTCGGTACATTACTCTCTTTCAGAACATTCATCAGATTGTCCAGACCGTTTTTCCTGTCCTTTGGGTCAACTGCCAATTTAACGATTTTGTATTCGTTGAGATAGTTTTTGAATTCGCAATTCCTGGAAACTTTTGAATCAAAAGTGAGGAGAAAAAGAGCTCAATAGCTCAATTTTGAAGGGAGTTATGCGCCTTTAAAGTTGGAGGTGAGAGAGTGAGAGACGGCAGAGAAAACGACTGTCTCGCTGTCTGCGTCTCACATTCTCTCACATTCCATCAAAAAACCCTTGAAATTCCCTGCAAAATGGTCAAAAAATCATCTCAAAAACTCTATTCTGAAGGGAGTTATGCGCCTTTAAAGTTAGAG